TGTCATAGCCACAGGCATGTCCTGCTCTCTGCTCTTTAGCTCTGGGGATGCAACTTAAGAAAGCCATATCTTAGCAGAAAACAGTAAGATGCCAAGCCTGTGTTGGGAACCCGCAGCTTCCTTGTCAAATGAGATATCTCATTACTGTCTCTCAACAGAAACAGTTTGTCACAGGGTGGATGCTACCAGAACATATCAGAAGTGCAGGGGCTGAGCCTGTAAAAAACACATCAAGTTTGACCACTGACATTTGTCAGGAAAGGTTCAAGGCAACCACAGTTATTGAAGAGCTAAGAATCAATAACATGGACTCAGGATGGGACTCCTTCTTGCAGCCATGGGAAGACAGAGGGAAACAAAGGAGGGTCATGGCTGCACTGGCTTTCACACCCTCACTTGACTGCATGAGATGGTCAAAACACCTTAACACTGCAATGAAATTGGCTACTACACTATTTCCTAGGCTCGTGCACCCCCAACTGAGACATTCTTGAAGAAGCATGAGAGAGTTTCTCCATCAGATTCTCCCAGTATTTATTTTAAAAATATTATTAATAAACTCCAGGACTAGTTAAAAGATTAATTTATTGCCATTTAAACCTAAAACTGAATGCACTTGTGATCCAAGAACTGGGAAATGTTCCTTAGTCTTGTAGTCTAGACATAGCTGAAATGATTGGAATCACTTCTGAGAAATTTTACTTATACTAAAAATATAAGATGTGAAAGACTTTGGAAAAATATGCTAAATGAATCAGCTGCATTGGCCAGCTGTTGTGTTTTCCATGGTCCATGTTTCTCTGGATTGTGGCCACAACTACACTGAGTTTTGACCTTTGCCATTGGGTCAAGTCTCAACTCTCTCTGTACTGATCTCACAAGTCCTATTGACATCAGTGCCACAGCATCCACTGTGCCCATGGGCTGGGCAAGGAACCAGTAAAACCACAGCAAAAGGAAGAATAATGCTTCTTCTAGGAGCAGGAAAACTCTGAGACAAAGGAGAGGAGGAAGGCAGAAGTGGAATTTGTGCTTGTTCCACTGTTGGGTATCATCTAAGTTGCACAGAGGTGCATGTCTGCGCCGCTGTCATGGAGCAGGTCTTGCAATGACAAGAAAGGAAAACTGCTGAAGGATGTGTTTTGGTTTTCAGTGTTGCAACACAGGTCTTGCTACACAGGTCTCAGCTATGATGCTGCTGTTGTTGTTACTTATCTAAGTCTACTGGAAAGGGTCAAGTCCAGAAAGATCCAGAAAATCAGTCCCAGCAATGGAAAAGACTGAACAAAGAGAAGCAGGGGCAGGTTTGCCGACAGATCTTTCCAAGACCAAATGTTTTAGTGAAGAGATCCAGGCAAAGATGATGTAGATGTGGCGAAAATTAACTGAGGCATGGAGGCTAAGAGAGAAGATATGGAGAAATAACTTTGTTGGGCTTAATGGCAGGGGAGTTTTCAGAAATCTGCCATTGATTACAGATGCATTACTGTCAGGTGTGAGGCTTATGCGAGTTGAGATTTATATCTCAGATGTAATATCCAGTGGGTGGCTCAGTTAATGATGATAACTCCTTTGTCCTGTGCTTCTCTAGATCAAGCAGTGCAGATAATTATGAATAATGATAATGATTTGGATCTCAGAGAGAATTTGCACAGATAGGCACACACCTATGGGTGATGTGGCTTCATGCACAATAATTAAGCACATATGCCAAGGGAAGTGAAATAGAAAATGGGTAAAATCATTCCTTTGGGAGAAGGCTTTTTTTTTAGATTTTGCACCTGAAAAGTTGTACTGTGTGCATATGTCAGGTAGCTGGCAGATTGATTTAGAGTTCACAGACCTGAGAAAACAGAGGGTTTGCATAAACAAGAGCAGGACGGGGTGCAGAAATAAACACAAACGCTACCTCTGATCATGCCAACATGTCATGGAGCAGAGTGCTGGAACGCAGAGACACCAGTGCTGCCTCTGAAACCTCTTGAGCTGCGTCAGGATGTCGCTGTGCCTGGCTCCCAAACACCTGGCAGAGCCACCCCACACCTGGGCCAGGACCAGCCAACCCAAACCCACTCAGTTTCCTCTGCCTGGCAGCTCCCTGCATGCTCTAGATGGGCCTTGGCAAATGTGTTGAACATCTTCAGCCACACTGCTCTAAACTGCCATCAGTGTGGCTGCTTGCTCATACTCGAGAGTGGAGGTTGGTCCACTGAACTGTAGGAGGCAGAGGCACGTTCCCACAGGGGTCTAGTCAAATTTCTCACGTAAGGATGGGGTTTCACGAGCTAACAGAGCTACTTTCAAAAACCTTGTTTCTGTGAAAATGCCACTTAAATTTTGCTTCTAGAATCAACGTGGCAAGTAAGACTTTCTCACACCCTCTGGTAGCTTCCAGAGGAAAAGTTCAGAGGCTTATCATTTCATCAGTTGCCATCAGTTCAAAGGAGAATTCTGTCATTTCATGTTTTTAAGGCATTTCAGTGGGTTGTCTATGTGGGAGCAGCAGCTGACGTCAAGGAAGACTGTCATTCAGCTACAGGTATATGGGGGAAAACAGCCCTCTTCTGCATCTCCAAACAAGGAAAATGCCTAGGAGAGCTTCAAGATCTTTCCAGGCATTATCCTGCATCTTTGGAAAAAGCCAGCATAACTGGAATTTATCTCTACTAACTTTAAGCCTCATTATGGACTCTTTGTTAATACACACAGAGTGAGGCACTTCCAGAGGGTGATTTGGCTTTTGGTGACCTGAACAGCTTTACTGTCAGTGCCAAGATCTTCAAATTCATCAGTTCATTCTCTCTTAAGATTTTCTGGGCATGATTCAGCTTCAGATTAAGGTCCCTCCATTTGGATGTCTGTATGCAGGTGTCTGTATGACCGTTCTATCCACAAAAATGTTGTCATTAGACTGGGAATTCGAGGGTTGGATTCACCTTTGCATACAATCAGATTAAACCTCTTTCTAGTGCCCAGTTCTTGATGTGCCTTAGAGCTCACCAGCAATCCTTGCAGTTTTTTTAACAACAAAGCTTCACAAGGTGTCCTGCAGCACTTGCTCAGGGGATGCCTTAACCTGCAGTGCCCCTTACCAGGGGTGAGCAGCTCTTTCTTAGCATTACCAAGTCTGAGCAGACCACAGAGTGCACTGCAGTGACACCACCATCATGTCAGTCGCAGAGCTGCTGTGGTCAACAACTTGGGTTGCTCTAGTCACGGGAAGATGTCCCAAAAGGGTACTATTCCGTGCCCAGTCACCTGGTGTTATGTGCCAGAACAGCTGCTGGAGAAGCCCTGGTGCATATGCTGGCCTTACAGTCCCTGCTATCTGCACAGTTTTAATGGAACTACTTCTTAAAATTCATATGAATGCAGTCCAATCTTAATGGACTGACCATCAAAACATCTCTGTGCAGCAGGGAAGAACCACTGTCTCAACAACACACACTGCAGCAGAAGATGGAGCTTTCTGCTGATTTATTTATCTAAGAAAAACTTGTCTCAATTACAGCACAAATACTGTATGTTGGCCAAAGAGGCTTCTCTCTGAGGGGAGAACTCTCCTCCCAGTGCCTTGTGTTTATAATCTCCTGGGTTTTGACAATGCTCTCTGCATAGAGCCCAGCTTGCCCCCCCCTGCTTCCCCACAAGCTCCAAGGAGGCATCACATGAGAGCAGGTATGGTGGGACCATTACACTGACTGCCACAGGCAGCCCCAACAGGGAGTTGTTCCTCTTGGAAGAATGGAGTTCTCCAGCTATTTAAGTACTTTTGTGAAAACTCACTTCAGGTGGTCTAAGACCAAAACCTGTCACCTCCTGTTACCCTAAAGGAGAGTAAGAAGGGTGCCTTCTTGCTAAGGACGTGAGGTGGTCAGGACATACGTTTTAGTCTGCCACAGAAAGGAGAGAAGACGAGAGCTTGTTCTCTTCATTTTCAGTGGCACACCATCAGACTGCAAGGCAAACTGCTTTCTGTAGGAATGTAATAGCTGACCTTTCATACTAGTTCCCATGGGTACTTTGAAAGACTCTTTCTAGAAATAAGTCAAACGTCTACTGAATAAAACGAAGGAAAATATAACTGTACTCTTTCACTTTTCTAGGAGGCACATTTCTTCAGTGTTTCAGAAAAGTCTCAGTGTTTTTTGGCAAAATCAACCTATTTAACTGCAGATTGAACCCCAGACCAATGACACAAATTACAGAATATGATAAGGAAACTTAAAACACCTTCCAGCAACAAGTATGAGCCTTTGACAGACTGAGGTCAGTACAGCATTTTGGGTATCTTAATTTTGCATGTGAGACTGACCATCATCAAACAAGGCACTGGCTGCAAAGGCCACAGTAACACCAAGCTGCTCTCTGTCATCACGGCTTCAAGGCAGCTGCATCCTGCACTTAATAATTCCCAGGGGAAATGCCTGGTGAAGAGAGAATAGCACTAAACTCTGCTTCCAGCTTCATTCTCAGTCTAGCTGAGAGGAGAATTTGACCTTTGGTAACTTGATTAATACCAAATTAACAGATGGCTTTGGACTTTCCTTGAGATTGTTTGCTCATCCCTGTGTCTCGCTGTCCTCCCTGAGACCCCCAGACACCAGCTCTGCATACACTGAAAGTGGGGGCAAGTGCCACAGTCTCGAGAGAGCAGTGGAGCTGCATATCCCTCCTCCACAACCTGCCCTGACAGAGCAGCTGGTTTCACCCTGGATGCAATGCCTTGGTGTTTTTAAGAAGTGTTACTCATGTTTTTGACATTTTACAAAGGTTATTCTGAAATTTCTATTAAAACAACGTGGGAGAGGTGCCTGTGGAAAAATACAGCATTGGCACTGAGAGCCCCATTGCAAAGCACATTAAATTAAATGAAGCAGCACCGACACAAAAAATTTCTACCAAAACCCCATGATTTATCACAAGCATAACCTTCTCTTCTTCGTGTAATTAAAACAGACTTCAAATAGTACAAACACAGGAGATTAAGCCCGTCTTACCTGGAATAGGTATAATGGGAATACTTTCATTGGGGACCACACGGGGGGAACTGCTGTCCTCCACATAGAAATGAGCAGTCTGGAAACACTTTCTGTTAAAAGAAAAAGAAAAAAAATATACACTCAGGGTGTGAAAAACTGCCTCTGAAAAAAACAGACGAAAACTTTTGTACGTGTTCTGCTTCTCCATTTCTGCTCCATACTTTCAGATGTTATAGTTTTAAAACATTGATGCATGAAAACATATGTGCATTTTCTACAATTACAATCCTAATTCCAGATTCTGGCGTGGTCTAATTCATTGACATCTGACATCCACCCATCATAAATGCCTCTATATATTATTGCTAAGCACTATAGAATATGAATTATACTCATAAAAGTTAGTGGCTGCAAAACAGGTTTCAAATACATCATTCAGAAAGAAACTCTGCAGACAAAAAACATATTCAGCAAACAGTTCAAGCCCAAATCTACCTGAGACACTCGCATTTCCAGGGAAAATACACTTACTGTAAAAGTTTCTGCTGTGTAACAGCAAGCAGACAGTAATACAGCATCTGTAACTGCTTCATATCATGATGCTCTGCTATGAAAGTTATTCTTCAAACATTAAGGTTTTTTATTTGTAACACTAAAGCCATATAACCCTCCTCCTGAAAACTTGTATTACATATGCTTCTCCAGAAAAATGCAATAGACACTTAGCTTGGGCCTGAGGACTCATCTCTGAAAAGGCCTATAAGGAAGAGCAAAACTTAAATCCACCTGACTCATTTTTACCTGTATTTAATGCAAAGCAGAGAGCACAAGCTGGTCATCACAGAAAAGGTACTGAGCAGAGTAACATCAAGAGATCCAGGGAGACTCTGCATGGTGATGTTAACTGAGGCAGGGTTTTCCAACACCAGCGTCACTGCTCATTGCTGACTTAATGAGCTGCTTGAGGCTGGAACTGAATATTTAATGAGTCTTGCTTGGTGTGAGCAGCTATTGTGGGCAGGAGAAGGGTCTGCTCTCATCTGTCGGGTGCTAAACAATAGCTTCCCATTTCAGAAAGATCCCCCTCATTGCCACCCATCAACTGCTCCTCAACACCTGGGCAAAGTTTGCAGGAGGCCTGGTGGGCTGTGCTTTTGCCAAGTTGCTGGTTCCCTTGCTCAAACATATTTGCACGTAGTGGCTTCTGAGTTCCTGCCTTGCAGTCTGGGGCTCTGCAACTCGGGCATTGTGCTCTCCATAGAGAGCCCATCGGCAGAGCCGGCTCCGCAGACTTTGTCAAAGTAATTTGCGCTCCCTTTGTTTCCAACATCCATACATGCCGGGGAGGGGGGGGATAAATGGCACTGAAAAGCAAACTATCTCTTAGGGAAACCAGAACCTAAAATAATCCCAGGTCCTTGCTTTCCAAGCATTTGTACTTCCTACTGCACAGGCACAGAGCTTTATAACACAAGCACAAGCCATGGCAGCACAAGTACAACTTAAGACAATACAGAAGCAGGAGAGAGTGGATTTCACAGCATGGAGTCACTGTCTGGGAGCAGCTTTCCATTTTCAGGCATGATGTCTTGCATTGTGCTGAAGTTATTTATTTAGTGAGTATACTCACTAAATAGACTCACATATTCTTTTCTTAAGAAACACCATAAGGTGAATTCACACATGAGGATGCAAGATGTGCAATAGTCTCACAGCATTTAAAAACCTCAGTTGAACTCCCCCCGCCCCGCCACTTGCTCTGTTCTCATTTTTTTTTGGCAGCCTTTATTTTGGACAATGCACACCCTGGGGGCACACAGCAGAATAAATCAGTCACACATAAAGAAGAAACTATGAATATGAAACAGGCAAAATGTTCCTGATTTTGATGTATTTGGGGCTCTTTCCCTTGAGTCAATACTACAGAAATCCTTGAATGGCTTCTCCTGGTAATGAAGGCCTTAAAAAGGTGTTTGATAAAAAACTAGACCTTTACACAGGGATTTACAGGAATTTTTTAAAGCTGATGATACTGAAGAAAAGCAATTATTTTCTGTTAATTTGTTATTTTATACTCTGAGAGGCTCTGATAGGCTGGCATTATGGTTTTATACGCAGCCATAAGATGATTTTTTCTTAATAGCCTCAAAACATGTAATTGTGTCAGATAATCTCATTGGGTGGTATTTTAAGGCCCACGATGGCGATAGCTGAATACCCAGCCCAGTGCAACTGCTGAGCACAATGTTGGAAGAACAATGTATTAAATGAATATTTCACATAGTAAAGTTTGCCACAATCATTAATGTCATTAAAAATTCTGTGTTTTAGTCCTGGAAGACTTTCTGTAGCTTTTTTGCAAAGGCAGTCACCATGGAATTTGACTAAAGGTTTTCTCAAGTCACAAACATCACACTAAAAATACACTCTCATCTGATGTAAATACCTACATAATGCAGCATGTTCATTACTTCACAATACTGGATACTGGTACATTAGGTGAAGACATGCTTCTCAAACTGTTTTTTTCCCCACTTGCTCATAATTGCTGTACATATTCCAAGTTTAGCCTCTCCAGGTGAGGTCACTACGCACAGGCCATCTCATCCCTGTCCTAGTGACTCCTTCCATGTCTCTGGGACCATACAAGCTCAAACTTGAGAGCAGGATGAAGTGGATCAAGCTTTAAAAGACCTTTTGCAGATTTAATGAACTCACTGAATCAATTTTCCAGCAAGTTCTGCTTATTGTGTCTGTTTCCTACTCTTGCATCTTTCCTCTGTGCAGCACCAGGAGGGAGCACAAATCTCAGGGTGCCAGGCAGATGATTCCAGTTTGGATAATGTCCATTTTTCCTAAATGAGGAAACATCAGGGCCTAAGAAGAGCTTTTGCAAACTCATGTCTAATGTGTAGTAATAAATACTGGTATCTGGTATCAAGGCTACTGAGAGGCATTTCAGACAATTTAGTATCTTCCTCCTCCCCCAGTTTAGGATGCTCCTTTCTATCCCTTGGCATTTCCCCTACCCATCACCTTTCCCTCCAGATACAAACCTTAAGTGGCAGCAGTTGCTAAGGCTACAAGAGGCTGCAGTAAATCTAAGTGTGTATATCAGGAGGGCTGGATAAAGGAAAAGTATGAGAGTAGGAAATTGCTTGTTTCGAGCCACTGGAGACACAGCCTAGGAGAGAGGGGGGAGTGGATGCAGGGCTAGACAAGGTGCGAATCTACATCTATTTTCACATGAGCACTTCAGCCTGTAACTTTTAACCCCAGTGTGTACACGTGGGCAGGTGTTTGCACCTGTGTGCCCACTTGCTCAGTCAGCAGAAAAAAGTACCAGATTTTTTTCCTAATAGAAGTAGTTGTTAGTGAATGCACAACTGGGATTTGTCATGGCATAAATGATTATTGAAATCTTAACAACTGAAGCACTGATTTTAGAATAATTATTGTATTTCTGCAGCACTGGTTGAGGAAAAGAAAATCACAACCTTGATTTCACTTCCAAAAGACTTTGGGGAGTACACATCTTTTCTGTGAAATACCAGAGTCTGTTGTCTCTGAAATATGCCTGTGAGCAGTGAAGCACACCGTTTTCTCTAGCCCCATATGTTTTTTTGGCTCCCTTTCCCTGGGGTACAATAACTGTGCGAGATTGTGGTGATCAGACACACGGTTGTCACATATGGACCCAAATGCAGAAAGTAAAACACTGCGAGATTAGCATCTCCCCAGAGAAGGAGGAGAGGCAGGGGTTGGAACACAAAGACAATGTGAGGGAGAGCATCCTCTGCCCAGAATCTTTTTGCAGAGATACTGGCCATGAGTCACTAATGCAAACTAACAGGATGTAAAGTCCAGAGCAGCAGCACCTTGTTACCAAGCTGAAAGCACAAAAATATGCCAAGAGATGGTCTTGATTAGCTTGTTCCATCTCTGCTGAGCAAAATACCAGATTAGCTTCTGTAGAAGTAGAGATGCCTTGAGAGATTTTGACACTCAAACCAGTTTTCCCTTGGTTATTAGTTACTAAAGCTCAAGCAGTTTCTTCTCCTCTAAAATCAAAAGGGAGAACTAGATCACATAATGACCTGAAAGCATGGAAGCATTTTACTTTTGTGTAGAAGACAGTTCCTCAGTGTTTAGTTAATACTGCCTCCAATAGAAACGCACAGCACACCACAGTCGATGGGAGCGCTGGGAATTGCTCCGAGGGCAGTGTCTGGCCTTTACTCCTCCATACTGGGTCTAGTGCAGGCAACATCCCCTGATCTGCAATGACAGGCATGGGATCTGCAGTGCTCCGGAGCAGCTGAGGCTGGGAGAGGAGGAGCAAGGGATTATTGCAGAAGGGCAAGCAGCCACCTCTGCAGTGGCCAGCTGGAACCACCAGGGCAGTGGCTGAACAGAGGAAAAATCAAAGGGGAATGTTTCATGTTCTGGGGACACCCAAGAGCCATGCCCCGCTTCACATGCTGAACTGACCAGCCCATTCATTGCTCCTTGTTCACTACAGACCTTCTCCTTCTTCCAGGTGTTTCTGTTGGCTGGAACAGTGTGTATTCCCTCTTCAAGGCCAGCCAGATTTATACTACTTTATTTCTGTAAGAGCATCTAGGAGCTCTAGGCTCTGGGTTTCTTGCAAATACTGTCTTTCTTGGGTCATTACCTTCTAAAGCATGACCAATTCAGGGGCAGATGGCTTGAAAGGGTCCTGGAGGCCTATTCACTACTGTCAGAGCAGGGCAAACCTTGTCCTTCAGGTACCCTTCCTCCAGAAACAGCCTCCCACAGACAGAACCTCTGCAGAATGTACATTTATTAACAAAGAGACCAGTAGTCCCTGCAGCCACCCAACTTACACACACAGTCCATAGCTGTGGGGAGAACAGGCAAAATCGAATCTGTAAGAGATCTTTAAACCAGGCTGGACAGGACATGGCTTAGTCTTTATCAGATGCAACCTGGATACAGGCATTCATTCACCATGCTCCTCCATCACAGAGTGTCTGCAAGTAACTCCCAAACAAAGAAGCAAAGACAGGAAATGATCCCCTTTTACTACCTCTGTACATTCATTCTCACTTTCAATAGAACAAAAGCT